AATGCATCTGCATTTAAATCACCAGAGGGAGATCGGTGAGCGTGGTCCGGGTAGAGTGTGGCGCTGTATTAGGTCGGTGGTGGCTGGGAAGCGGGGTGATGGGTCTGTGCGGCCCGACGCCACGGCTGACCAGCTGAACGAGTTTTTCGTTTCTGTCGGCCCGAGGGTGGCGACGGAGATTGGGGCGCGGGGGCCGGTGCCTACCATTGGTACGCGTTTACCCCGTGTGGATGCCTGTTCGTTCGCGCTCTCCCCCGTGACCCGGGAGATGCTCGGACACACGATCTTCAGCATGCGGAGTTCGGCCGCCTCCGGTGCCGATGGTGTTTGTATCCGCATGCTGAAGATCGGTTTCCCAGCTATCGGTGATCCCCTCCTGCATATCATCAATTCCTGCATCACACACTCCGACATCCCAGCTCCCTGGAAACACTCCCTAGTCAATCCCATTCACAAATCCGGTGACCCCTCTGACCCTACTAACTTCCGTCCGATATCTCTCGTTCCTGTCATTACCAAAGTAGTCGAGCGCGTCGTTCACCGACAGCTCTACAACTACCTCACCATGCAACCACCTCCTTTCATCCAGTCAGCACGGTTTTCGACCTCACCACTCCACGGAAACTGCACTTCTTTCCGTATCCGACCAGCTCCTATCCGCCACCGATAGGGGGGAGATTTCAATGCTGTGCCTCATTGACTTGAGCAAATGTTTTGACGTCATCAACCACGATATTTTACTGCGAAAACTGAGTTTGCACGGCATTGAAATCTCCTGGTTCGCCGCCTATCTTCGGGGACACACACAGAGCGTGTCCCTGAACGATGGGTCCGGATGCAGGGTGCTGTCTCGGCCGCTCGCCAACGACATGGGTGTCTTCCAAGGTTCAGTTTTAGGTCCGCTCTTATTTACTATTTTCGCCAATGACTTATCTCTACACGCTGATGGAGCTATAGTGTTTCAATACGCGGATGACACCCAGTTGTTGGTGAGTGGTCCGAAAGATGACGTCGGGGGACTCACCTCTCGCATGGAACGCTGACTGTACTCACTAAGCTCTTGGTTTAGCTCTCACTCGCTGAAAGTTAATGCAAACAAAACCCAACTTCCTATCTTTGGCAGTCGACAAACTCTGCGCTCTCTTCCGAACATATCAGTAACTTTTTGCGAAGTAGCTTTGAAACCCCAAGCAGAGGTGAGAAACCTGGGCGTCGTCTTCGACGGTGCCCTGACCTGGGAAGCACATGTGTCCGAGCTGTGCCGGCAGTGCGCCGGTGTGCTCGAGGCTTATCTCACTGCCGTCATTATCTTCCGGACGGGGTCATCAAAGTGCTAGTATCAGCACTTGTACTGTCGCGGATCCGCTATTGTCTTACTGTTTACGGAAATGGTTCGCAGCGAAATTTTGACAGACTCACCAAAATTCTCAATTTCGCGCTGAGGGTGATTTTTGGCCGTCGAAAATTCGACCATGTTTCCCGGCTCCGCGAGCAGTTGCGTTGGATGACGCCTCGCCAGATGGTACAGGCTCAGACGTTGGAACTGATGCACAGGGTGCTGCGGCGGGGTGAACCAGACTCGCTGGTTAACTCTTTTACCCGATGCTGTGACACTCGCATGAGAAGTACGCGACAGGACCACCTCTTCCGTCTACCCAGGCCGAGGACAGAGGCCGGGAGGCGTCGCTTCGCCTATAGAGCGCCAGACCTCTACAACTCGCTACCTGCCGGAACCACCGAGCTGTCTCACCAGCGTTTCGTCCGAGCAGTGAGAGCCCATGTTATGACCTTGTGAGACCGTCCGTGCGTATGGGTCGTGGGATGTGGTCCGGGCTGTGAGCTGTGTGATTGTTTTTACTGCTTTATTGTATGGTGTCGATGAATGAGATGACTGCAACCCGTATGATTTTACCGATTATCTTATGACTTGGGGCAATAACAGCCACGACTGATTGTGGACTGCCCTGCAAATGTAATACATACATACATACATACATACCACCTTATTACCAGCGCTAAATGCTAAGGAATTCAGTTGATTGTGCTCATTTACAGCCAAAGGAAAGGCCGCGCCAATTTGGTGAGCTGATTTCAATGGTCATGTTCTTCCGACAAGTACTAAGCTCAATAGCTGTCATCCTCATTTTGTACGGCAAAGCGCCAAGTCTCTCTGCTACTATGACGGACCTATTGATGAAGTGCATTCACTGTTCTTTGGCTGGGAACTGCGTGCCTTCAGTGCGTGCTTTAATGCCTCGCATCGTGTGTGAGTGTCGCACGCTGAATACCATGTGCGTAGTCCACGCGTGAATAGCGAATCGGTCCCGACCGGCCCGGCCCGGCCCTCAGGTTTGATGCGCGGCGAATCGGCGTGCGAGTCCAGCGGGCCTCAGTGACCCCAATCGAGGACACGACACGCAGAGACACATAATGACGAGCCGAGCGATCTCTATTTTGTCGCACGCCGCGACGCTCGATGACCCGCGGGTCGGACCCTCGACCCGGCACCGGCTCCAGGGGAGCGACGACAGCTGATCACAGAGTGGCAACCGGCCATCGGACGTCGGCGCGGCAGGCTTTCTTCGGCACGCCGTTTTTCCCAGGCGGAGAATGATAATCCCGGCGCTGGGTGACAAAAGCGTCATTCACCACCGCTGGAGGTGAGCCCATTTGGAACAGGATCAAACCAATGTCCGTGGATAAGGATCTCGGGCGGGGACGGCGGGCGGCCGACCGGGCTGTTCACAGACGCCGCCTCGCGCTGGGAGCTCCACAGAGGCCGGTGGAGCGTGGCCGCCGAGGAGGAATGTCGGGAGCGGGTGCCAGTTATGTGGGGTCGCACATACCACAGACCCAGGGTAGACAGGCGGGTAGAAGGGATTCACTATACCTAAACATGAATTTAAATATTTCGTCCATAAATCAACACTCTTTTATTGTTTTGTCAGTGGGTTAGCAATTACTCCAAATGTTTTGCCAAGGGACAACAGTGCATATAGATTTATTCGTCAGAACATAAATCAAAGAATGTCGGATGAGCAGCTGTTCCATCCTATGCAACTACAAATTTTTCCCGAAAGCTTTAAATGTGCTGAGTTGAGCGAGTGCAATGAGTAGGCTGCTCAAATGGCCCAAATTCAGTGAAGTAGGCTGCTCAAATGGCCCAAATTCAGTGATCAAGTACGCTTGTTGCTTGACTTAACGAAGGCATTGAACAACAATTCACTTCTACCGAAAAGACTAGCATGTTTGAAGACAGCTTGCAATCAGTCTTGCATCAAAAAGTGAAAACGGGTTTGGCCATTGGAGGACATAAGCAATAGTACGTTATGGGCTGTGAGCGGAAATTAGAAACAGTAAACGACTGGTTGCTGGGACCTGGGTGTTCACCGTCGAGTGGCTGTACGCCTGGATCGAAGGCTCAAAGTGGGTTGAGTAGATAATGAAATGATATGCACCTTCCCACTCATACACATGACTAAAGAATTATAGCTGAATTAGCAGAGGGCCATCAACTGCAGCCTGCCAGTGCCGCTGGCGGCCTTTGTTGCCGGTCATAACCCGTCTGACGGACGGGCCTACCTGACACCGGCCACGGCGCTTAATGCGACCCGCTCGCCGTCCTCCAGCTGCGGGCCAAATGGAGAACTATCATGCTCGACAGCTCCCACTTTCCCAAATGGTGGCACCTAGCAACACCCAACAACACGGCCGCGGCACGCCGAGCGGGCCGATCCGCCGCGGCCGGGCGCGTGACGCTTTGTTTTCGGATCCGGCTGAGTGACGGTGACCCATCGCTCACCGAGGGGCGAGTGTGCGTAACGGCGTCACACCAGCCGTAACGGGTAACGATCGCCGGACAGCGCCGCCGCCACGGCCCCGTCACAAGAGGGACAACTACTGGGGCGCGATCTTGCACGCGAGAACCCGTTGGTTGGCGCTTGATATCGGCGTAGGCAATAGGCATGCCAAAACTTTGGCATCCGATTCACGTCTCAAATTATGTTTCTTCAGCTGCAAATCGATTATTTAAACAATCAGATCCTACCGTTCCTTCCCCTTCGGCGTACCTGCATTCATTTTTACCGACCCTCCAATCTGCGCCGTGACATACCTACTGCACCATACCTACAGCTCCGGTGCCCGGCGGCGCAGTATCGCCCCTGCGGCGAGCGCCGCGCGGGGTAGACTGTGCCGCATCACACGCCTACCTTGCGGTGCAGTTTCTCTGTATATAGTGATACGTCGGCGGGCTTCGAGGGCTCTTTCAGTTGCTTTTGATAGTTTACTTGAAATCGATACCACTACAAGTGTAAAGGTAGCCGCGCATATACTCGTATCTATGTATGCAGAAGACACTGCAGTTTTGCTATCAGCCTGTTTGACCACATGTGGAATGGAATAGCAAAATGATGCCCCAATGCAGTCAAAGAAAGCCTAGCTCCTACTTTTGCGAATTATTTTTTTTTTTCGTGCTAGTCGCACAAAACATCTACACAAGTAGAACTGAACGGTTTCAATATTCATATGTTTGTTGCCACACAAGATTCGGGTGTCTTCTCCTTTAAATCGACCCACAGTATTAGTGTGGAGGATCGATGTTTCCAATAATGCAATGCACCAAAGGCTAGATTAAAATCTGCGAGTATCTAAGTTTCCAGCTAGGTGAGATCAGCACTCATTTCGCGATATCATTCCATGATGCAACGAAGCGATCCCAAAGCAGGTCCATAGACCACAGCTCATGCATCAGCTGACGGTCGTCACCCACCCGTCCGCCGGGCAACTAATCTCGACCTCCCGTGACCAAGATCATCACATCTCGGGCTCTCAGCCGTCGTCGGCCGTCGCTCTGCTCCGTATACCATGGGAAGGTGCATGTGACGTCACCGGCATATGACGTCACCGACTCAGCTGTGCGGACGTAGGGCGCTGATTGGTCGGCGCGGCGCGCAGCCCCGGAACAGCTGGGCACGACGGAATCAGCTGGTCGGGGCACGCGGCCGGCGCTGCAGTCAGTCGCGCCGGGACCGCGGGCGGCGGCGCACCAGTACACGGGAGAGACCAGAGGGTCGTGAGCGCGGACCCGTCGACACGGACTGTAAGCAGGCGGTCATGTTGCCTCAGGGCGAGGCAGCCGAGGTCACCGGCCGGAGGCACGGCGAGGACACGATGGTGGACGAGCACATCCTGCGAGTGATCCGCAGCGCAGAGACCTCCTCCACTCCCTACACAGACGCCACGCAGGTCAGTGCAGTCGGAGAGGTCATGGTGTTATGTGATTTTCATATTTACAATGCATGACGAGTTGGCGAGGCGAGTTGACGAGTTGATCAGGAGGGTGTTATTGGTCCTTTCTAAATAATAAGCATTCTGCTAATGCCAGATGGTCACACTCAAGAGTTGCACGTGTTTTGTGATAGGCACTTCTGTGGAGTGAGGTGGGCTCCTTCCGAATATGCCTGAGTCGGCAGTTGGACAGCTCAAGGCACCGCATGGCAACAGATGAAATAAATCGATAGCCCTCAACTGTCCAGGGCGGCGTCGGTAAGGTTTTCCATTCGCGGTACCAACGAAATTAGCTTGTATAAGTAGATATGAACATAGCTTAATTTCCTGTGGAGGCATATTTTCAATCCAGCAAGAAATGCGTCGCTTACTTTGCGCTTTCTCTCAACAACAGACGTAAAAAGATCGAGGGAGACTTACCTCTGAATTAATTCTCCCAAGGATTGGAAACATTTCCGTGAACAGGTATAAATTTCTTGAAATCCTTGTATGACGGGCAGAATAAAATTATGTAATGTGTCAAACGTGTCGGGTCGGGAATCGTACTAAAATTAAATAATTTGGAAGATGACATTTCTCGCATGGAGGTAATTTAATTCATCTTGTGACAGCTCACACATCTGCAAAGCGATGCAATGCACGCCGTACAGGCATTTTGATTGACATGGATTTCGATGTTTGTGTATCTTAATAGGATACGAATATTTCCTCGTACTTTTCCATCCGTCCTAAGTGCAAAAGTCAATGTTTTCGAAACCCTACACTAATGCCTGTAAAAACAGAGCGTATTTATCTTATCGTCAGCCTGGCGTGAGACAGCCTTGTCCGCACCGTCAACATATTCCACTTTTCCGTCGCTCTGCTATCTGGCGGGCCCTGAAACCCCCTCTGTTGGCGTGGCTCGGCTCGAGTTCTGAGCTGCGGGAGCGGCGGCCGGCGCGGCACACCCCATTCATTATTCACCGTGTTTGCTGGTGATGCGGATTATTACGCTGGAATGCCGACGGCCGGGGAGGACGGCTCGGTTCGGAGGAGGACGGCCGGGGGAGGACGGCTCGGTTCCTCTGAGGACGGCTCGGTACCAGAGGAGGACGGGTGGAGCCGGAGGACGGCGTCTCGTGGAGGACGGGTTGGGGCCGTTGGGCATTGGGTAGGTTCTCGGCACCGTCTCAGCGCAAGACCGTTAGACGCTCATTCCTCAGGAGCGGGGCTAGAGTGCTCAGGAGCGGAGTTAGATTCCTCAGGAGCACGTTGGAGTCCTCAGGAGCGGGGTCAGTTCCTCAAAGGTGGAACGACACCCTCAGTTAGAGGGGCCGGGCTCCGACCGGACGCAGGGCCCGGCCGGTGGGGTCACGGAGGGTGAAGGTTTGTTACCCTGTGCCGGGGTGGTGTGGGAGGAGGGTCAGGACTGAGGTGAGGTCAGGTGAGCGGCAATGACTACCCTGGAGGGTGTGCCTCTGATAGGGCACTGGCCCTCCACCCTCTGAGTATACAGCCGCTCTGCTGGCCTCGATGCAAACACGACGGCTACGTCTCAATAGAGACGTATGTGTGAGTTTGTTTGATGGGTAGAGGTCAAGCTTGCGATCGACGTAGCTGTAACGTTTACGCATTGCACAATCCACATGCCTTGGACTGGACGTTGCAGACTGCGCAGGTTACGAGCATTTGATGGGTGTAAGAGCGGGTGAGGATACGTTTTGTACTTTGGCGCGGGGAGTGGGGGCAGCACTTTTTATGAGTTTGTCAGGCATACTCCTACGTCCTAGTCCTCTTACGTTTCCCTGGATCGCTTATAATGCCCGCTCAGATAGTCAACTTCAGACCACTGTGCTTGGCCAGCCAAGTCCGAGCCCAGGTATAACCGCACCGCACAGCTCGGCCCGATCCTCGGACGCTTCTTCTGAGCGTTTTTACGTCGGTCTGACGGACACCAGGCCGTTGTTCCAGTGGTGACCCCAGACGCCGTCCGGTGACCCTCTCGCTGCCCCTGTGACCCTCAACACTGCCTTGTGACCTCTGAGGAGTGTCGCTACCCTTGCGACCCTCGACGCTGCTCCTGTGACCCCTGAAGCTGGCTCTATAACGTTGAGGCGTCCCACGGCACAGGCGACTGGATACGCAGTAGTGACGGGCCAGTGACGTATTCAAACTAGGTACCGCCAACATCACGCGGTGTCGCTGTTGTGCTAAAAGGGCGCCCTGATGCAACCTCGCCGCTTCACTGGCGGGTCAGCTGCGGGAGAGAGTCGGATGTTGAAACACACTGGTGAGGTGTTAACTGAGGCGGGCCTCTAACATGTTTTCTTCCCCTGTGTTTTATCGTGCCAAGTGACCCGATTGCCTCGGGTACACGGAAGGATGGTCAATATCGCCGAATTCTCCTTTCCATTGTGGCGTGCCATGTTTTGCCGGTGTGCCGTTGACGCCGAGCGCTGTGTCACTTTCACCGGTCTCCATTTAAGGCAGACTTTCTAGCGAGGAGCAGTGCTGTTTTCCTTTGGAGTCGGCCGTCCCCGAGGTCCTCTGTTGACACCCGCCACCGGCCGTCATTTATTTAGTGGAACGAGGACCTGGTTCGTTTGGCTGGACGTGTTGCCCGTGACACCTCGCCATGCAGTAGCGGCCGATGGTATTTTGGGCTGCCGTGGAGGGGACGCTCGGTGCGGGCTAACTTTACTTGGTTGTTTATGTCGATTGGCTCCAGAACCTGGGTTCCGAATAGATCAGCTGATGGTTCTGGCCTACCTCGGAACGAAAACACATGACTTGCATGAATTGTATGGTAAATGAATATGAGCAACTTAACGTTGAGGCAGTGGATATGCCACTTCTTTTGAGAACTTCTCTTTGAGAAAAAAAAAAATTGTGGATTTCGACTTTCGTCTAAACCAAGCTAAAGAAGCATGTTACTCACCGGGTTGCCGCTCCCTCGCCAGTGCAGTGCCGAGCTGTCAGAGGTCGTCCAGGACTCCAGTATGCCGCGACACTCCAGATTCCCGGGTGGCCTGCCGCGCCGCCGCCACCGGCGGGTCGTTGGCCGGACCCAGCACCACCGGCTGATTGCGCCGTCCCGGCCGCCGTGTGTGTGTCTGTCTGCCCCGATCAGCTGAGCGCGCCGCGGTGGCATGGCAGGGCGGCCGGCCCCGTCCCGCCGCGCTGGGACCAGCCGGCCGGGGGCGGCGCCCGGGGCTACTAGCTGGCCCGGCCCGGCCGCCAGCCGCGGCCCGATTATCGAGGCCGGCGTGCCCGATAACCGCGTGACGACCAGCAGCGCCAGTCAGTCTGTGCCGACCCGACTGCACCCGCCAAGGTTATCGTCGGGTCGGCTTGTTTATAAATACGGCCTGACGGACGGGAGGAGCGGCTCCGCGGACCGCGTGATGACATGCGCCCCTCCCCGCCCTCTAGCGCCCCGCTCTCATCCACAGCCGCCTTCCCAGTTCGGTGAACTAGGCGAGTAAGCCTATGCCTACTACATTTCCACCAAAATCTGGTACATATCGTCGTGCGATGCATAGCTTCACATCAATCACAAGAAGCCGGATAAAGTTCATGTGAACGCAGGTGCGTTGAAGCATGAATCTCCTAGTAGCATGTTGTTTCCTGCAAATCCTAACATATACTAAACGTGCGATATCCGGATCCCAGACCAAACCGACACACCAGAGCTGCATGCACCAGATCTGGTTCCGCCCAGCTGGTGTGGGAATGCGGATGGTACGGCGATATGACATGTATGACCTCGGTGGTAGCCAGCGGGCGCGTCCCGCCGGGCGCTCCGATCACGGGAATGTGGCGATTCGCCAGCCTCAGTGCCGGTCACCAAACCCACCAGAGTGCGATACGGGAGCACCGCGCCGTGTGGTTTTGGGTGATACGGTGGCTTCGCAGTGTAGTTCTGGGTGATACGGTGGCCTTGCCGCGTAGCTCTGGGTGATACCATGGCCCCGCGGCGTAGTTTTAGGTAATATGGCGCTGGATATTGCAGGCAGAGACATTGGAGGCCCGAGTGCGCAATTCGCGAAATGTTTGGTCGAGCAGCGTTTCGAGAACTGTTACATAAGGTGATCGCTGCTGGGAGCTAGGTGAGATATACTGAGGACTTGGAGCGTTTATGTTATTGCTCTTAGAAAACGTAAAATTAGGGAGAGTGGTGGTCAACTTGGGGGAAAGAGAGGGTAAAGAGATAAAGAGAGAAGGGAGGGGAGAAAGAAATTGAGAGAGAGAGAGAGAGAGAGAGAGAGAGAGAGAGAGAGAGAGGAGAGAGAAAAAGAGAGAATGGGAATGGAAGGACATAAGTGATGAACCGAGAATATTTTATAAATCAAATATTATAAAGGGTTAAACCAAGAACAATTTATCAATTGAATATGACGAGGACGCTTTCTATTGACATTCTGAGTGCGAGCATCTGCACACGACACCCGTTCCCAGGAAAGTGAATCGTCCTATATCCTTTGAACTGCTCCAGAACACGTCCAATAAAGACCACCGAGAAGGTTATGAACCCGCTGTGGAATCCGATAAATAGCCAATGGCCGGGTAATTGAACGAAATGGCCGCCCGCGGGCGCTGGGTGTTGACCTCGTCAATCGAGCTCGCTATCTCTGCCGGCCAGAAGGTCGGGCCGTCTGCCGCTGCTGCAGGTCACCTCCCCCGCCGGCTGACCGCCCCAGGTCACTTCCGGAGGCGTCTGTGGACCGCCCCGAGGTCCCTGACGGCTGACCCGGCGGCCACCGCCGCGCCACCAGCCGTTAGCAGTCGGAGAGGAGTCATTTTTCTTCCTGATTCCGGCCGTGTTCGGGGCTGCACGTCGCGACCGAGTTATTAATCGGACTGGGAGCTGGTGTCGGCCCGGCGACCGAGAGGTCACCTAACAAGCTTAGACGGTACTACTTGGTCAGCCGGCGCAGGGGCGGGCTCCAGAGGTGAGCTAAAGAAATAATCTCCTGATT